ATAGTTTCTCATTTAACCCAAGTTCTAATTTGGTCTCATCTGATCATAGAACTTTCTGCCACATTCTTGTAGGGTTATTGAAATGTTTACGGGCATAGTCCATTCGCGATATAAGATGCATCCTCATCAATAGTGGTTTCTTTCTTGCCACCCTACCATACAAGCATTATTTGTGTAAGGTAAGTGATATTATCACGGTGTGTATGGTAACTCCAGTTGCTGCTATTGAAGTCTACAACTCTTTCAGTGTCACTGTTGGCTTGAGAGTCGCTTCTCTGATAGTTTTTTTGTTTGTTTGAGTGCAGACTTTCTTAGGGTGACCTGATCTTGGTCAAGTTGAGGTAGTGAGACACTTTCCATTTCTTCACAACCGATTTTACAGTACTTAATGGCAAATTTATAGCCTTCTCCGGAATTGTGCTTCTGAACAGTCTTCTCCCTTAGGACTGTAAAGAGTTCTATTCTCATCATTTTCAATATGTAACAGCAAACCAAATTGTAACTTTCAAAATACTATGCTTAAACCAATACTGATGACTTTATATGACCTAAAGTATTTTTTCAAATGGCTCAATAATATATTTTAGTATCTGATAGAGTAGTACAGAGCCACATTTCCTTACTTTATAAGAGTAGTGAGTAAAATTAAATCAACGATGGTAAAAGCTGAGTGGTCTGAAGACTTTTGCAACATGTGTTTTCATTTTTTTTTGTGTTACATCACTAAATTAGGTAACAATACACCTTTTGTTCTTTGTAGTCTTTAGAAACTGGTCTGAGATTAACATAATTATTATTTTTGGCCGTTTGAGTTATGTCTTTCACAAGAAAATACCCAAAATTTATTACCAGCACAGGGGGGTGAAGACTTTTGTAAGGCACTGTATGTAGTTTAAAAAAGTATAAGATTGCGTACATATCAGGTTAAATAAAAAAATACCATTTTCTTGTGAAAATACATTGCATTCTTCTATAAGTATTTCTACTACATGAATTAACATTTATTTCTCTGAACTGTTATTTTCATTATTGTTCAGTTTCAAGTTTTCTTGGTTGATTAGAAAGCAGCAAACTATTTTTTTCTGTCTTAAGCAAAGAACTGAATTTTCTAACTGATAAAATTGGTAGTGTTTGATTTAATTGCTAGAATATCCACTACCTCAGTGATTATTAGGTCTGTAACTTTTTGTAAAAAAATAACAGTTTTACTAATAAAAAGAACACCATCATGTATAGCAGTTATTGAAAAACACTAAGTAGAATAAACTGTCAGAAGGCTTGATGTTGGAGAAACTAGTATCGACACTGTGTGTGTCCTCTTCAGTCTTACATTGTATTATAAATGTCAGAAAACAACATAAGACTGAAGAGGACATATGAATATGTCGAAACTAGTTTCTTCAATATCACGACTTCTGACAGTTTGTTCCATTTTACTGTAGTTTTCCACTAACCATTTAAACTTTTCATCCCAGCTTGGGGGTAAGTTAATATGAAGCTTCAAAGGCTTCACAATTTTAGTTATTTTTAAACCCAGTAACTTTTGACAAAAGATGTTACTACAGGTTTCTTAATAATATGATTTTGTAAAAATTAATTTATAGTAACAAAGTGTTTACTTTTAATTAAAAATAACTGATTATATCTTTCACCAATTTTTTTAGATTTCAAATTTCTAAATAAAATGTTACAAAACTGTTTGGTCCCAATATAAACTGGAGAATATTTTGAGATCATACAGGAGAAATTATAGTAGGTTTTTCTGTTACAACAGTTAGCTATTTAAACCAATCAAAGCTAGTTTTATGAACAATGCCTGCTCTTATGAAGTTAACCAGTGTTAATTAATGAAGTAAGCATTAATTTCATCTTGGTTTAAAATACTTGTTCTCTCATTTTATTTGTCACTAATATAAATATATATATTTATTTATTTATCTTATATTACAAGGTACACGCTTTAGACCTCTTTCCTTTGATCTTCCAAAACACCTATTTCCTGTTGCGGGAGTTCCCATGATTCAACATCTGTTGGAAGCATGTGTCAAAGTCCCAAATATGAAAGAAATTCTGATTATTGGGTTTCATCAAGCCGATGAAGCCGTCAATCAATTTGTGTCTTCAATAATGAAAGATTATAATATAAATATAAGGTAAAAAGTGAGATTTAGCAAAGAACAAAATAAGACTGTACATGTAGGTGAAGTTTAAAAAAGTAATGAAAATAATACTGCACATGTATAATAAATATTTAAATTGTTGTTTAATTTTACAGTGGTGATACAACTAAACATTAATCTACATGTTTCAAAACAATGTATATAAACTAACCCTCTTCTCATGTACTTAAGTAATTCTTTTTTAAAAACAAAATGTTTAAATTTAAAAGGCAAAAGATATAAAAATAAGGAAAAAATATATAAACTACAAAACTTGGAACCTGTTATTCATTATAGAGTAGAAGTGAAAACAGTTATAGATATATGACAGTTTTGGGTTTTAGTATAATTATTGTAGAAGTCTTCATTACATTGTGTACCTAATAATTCTAGGTCAAATTTCTAAAGTATTGTTATACTGTACTGTCAATGTTTTGTTCAGTTTTATCAAAAATAAATGATTTTGGATTAAATAATATTTCTGTTTCTTTAATTCTTATAAGAAGAAAAACCTTGTTTTATAGCCATTATTTTATATTGTACTTGTGTGATTATTGTTATACTTAAATTTAGGTATCTCCAAGAGTATACAGCACTTGGTACAGCAGGAGGTATTTATCACTTCCGAGACCAGATTAGAAGTGGTGAACCTGAAGCATTTTTTGTGATAAATGGAGATGTTTGTGGAGATTTTCCTCTATCACATATGGTTGACTTTCATCGTACACTTCCAAAGATAAATCTGATTACTGTCATGGGAACAGAGGTAAAAGCCAAATCAGCTTAGCTTAATTTTCTTTAAAAGAAAATATTAAATTTTTTCATTTGTTTAATGCAAATGTGTTTACAAATTTGATATTAACATTTCATGTCATATGTTTCTGCATTAAAAGAAATATACTTATTGTTTAGAACTTAGTCTTGTTTTTAGGAGACAAATTTATCTTTGAAATAATTATACCTCTTTGCTAGTAGCTTTATACATTTTAAGACTACATATAAGTCAATATTTACTGTGAAACAAAAATAATACAATTTACTACCTTCTTATATCAGTGTAAAAATTCAGAACTGATTCCTCATTTACAGTGCTAATTATGCTGTTCTGTTGCAAGAATGTAGATATGAATTCAGTGTTTATGCTATAGAAATTAAACATTGTAGGTAAATTTGAGATAAAGTATTAACATGTTAAGAATTACTTTTTGGAGCTGAGTTTCCTGTAAAGTGGTATTTTTATGGTTCAGTGTAAAATTTGTTTCAAGTGTTATGTCATGTATGTTTCTTTAGAAAACTAGAAAAATTTTTATTACCAAAAATACTCTGTTTCTTTGATAATAACTAATGCATTTATCTAAATTTGTCAGTGAGTGTAAATGAGCTTAGAAGTGAATATTTGATTTATGGAATAGTATTTTAGGCTAATAAACAAACTAGGAATACATACAATATTTCTTTTTTTTTTTACTTAGGCAACGAGACAGCAGTCTATGTGCTATGGGTGTATAGTGGAAAATAAAGACACTCATGAGGTAAGTTATTTATGATTATCAACACTTGAAGGCTCTTTCAAATTAAAAAAAAACTATAACCCTGTTAAATGTGTGATTTAATATTCAGTCTGTCAATGAAGAGCTCTCTTAGGGATAACAACTGTATAATTCTAAGTTGTGATTGAAAAGGTTTGTCAGAGTGACAATGGAATATTTGAATTACATTCTCTACAACAGTCACAACTACATCAACTGATTTTTTTTTAAGAATTTTAAGTAGGATGGGTATCAAATTAGTCAAATTTTATATGGATAGCATCTGTCTGTAATGTTGATTTCAATATCTATTTTTAAATTCAGTGCCATTTCTTTCATTTTGTTTCATTTGATAGAAATTGGTAGAGAACATGAATATTTTTTATTCCATATTAATCCTCTTTCAAAGTGCACATATCATGACCTTTTGCAGAGTTGAATTCAAAATTTAATTAAACTACTTTATTATCAATGTATATGAATAAACTTGATATCTAAACATAGTTAATAACTCAAGTTTTAATATTACATAAGTTTTAAGTACTTAATTTTATAAGAAAATATTTTTAAAATCCTCAATCTTTCCAAGTGTAAGAATTGTTATATTTGTTCTCTAGGTCTTCCCATTTTTCTAATTTACACTACTCACAAAAATTAAAGGATAATGAGTTTTTTTGTATGTTTGTAGGTTATCAGTTTATCACAAATTCAGCATGCTTAGTGTGGAGTATTACATTAATCCTACGTAGGGTTTGCAATTTTATGCACCTATGATTCCTTACGTAATATGCCTTTATAATAAATGACTCAAATTTTGCAAAGTAAGAAGCTAGTTTTCATTGATTAGGAAAGATGTTTACTGTTGAGATATTTATGGATATTTTTGCTGAATTGACTTGCAAAGAGTGTAAGCTGAGAGAAACCAGTTAATTGAAACTGAAGTTTACAGAGCTGTCACACTGCTTCAGGAGGGCCACATCCTGACTGAGGTGGTACAGGTCATGGGGCAGTCACATTCTGTGGTCAGTAGGTAGTGGCACAGATACCAGGCCATAGGAGAATACACCAGGAGGCTAGGTAAGGGTTGCAGAAGGGCTCAGGTGCAGTAGACAGCTGATAGCCACAGAAATTAGCCCTTAGAAACTGCATCAGCAACACTAAGAGCTTCAGGAATGAGTTTCAGCAAGTCACTGGAGTCCATGTTTCATGTTCAATGGTCAGGAACAGGTTCCATGAAGTTGGGATTAGGTCCAGGATACCAGTTAGAGCCCCTCTACTCACCCCAAGGGACTTAACAGTGTGGCTAGTTTTTGCCCAGGTAGATATAACCTGCACCTTTCAGCAATGAACTCCTGTACTGTTCATAGATTAGAACAAGTTATTTGTGTCTTCAAATAATCAATGTGTGAGGGTCTGGAGACATGAAGGAAAGTGATATTTGGCCTGTAATATTGTCCACCATGATGCCTTTGGGGTGGCTCAATCATGGTTTGGGGTGGAATCTGCATGTAGAGGCATGCAGACCTCCATGTTGTGGATGGAAGATCCCTGACAGCAAGACATTTATGTGGATGAGATCCTGCTACCCATTGCTAACCCTTTTGTTAGTGCTATTGGAGACGAGTTCATTATCAGTAGGATAACTTCCATTCTCACACCACCAGGATCACACAGCACTTTTTTTTCAGAGTGAGAGAATAGAGGTACTGGACTGGATTGCTAAGTCACCAGACATAAAGACATAAATCTGAGTACTTGAGTGGGACTTGCTAGGGAGAACAGTTAGAGACAGATTGAAGTGGACTGTGCTGCTACAGCAAGTCTACAAAATGTGATGACATGTGCCCTGATCCTGACCTGTATGGGAAAAGATTAATTGAAAATTCAGATTTTTCTGTACAAAAGACTTGTAATATTTAGAAAAAGCTTGCCAAATTTCATAAAGATATATTAAGTATTTTCACAGTAATTGTATGTATACCCTTATGGTGGTTACAAGTTCATGTATTATAATACATGAGCCCATGTCTATAGGTTTAAGTCATCAGGTTTTGCATTTCTCATTTTCTTCCAGCAGGTGAGGCTTTTTGCTTTTGGAGAATGTACCTTTCCTGGAACACTCTTTCTGTGGGGCACATACAAATGTGCCTCCTACAGTACCTAGTTGATCCAAAGGTTTTTTTTTCTTGGGTTCCACTGGCCTCATTTGTAAACCTCTCCTTGAGTAATTGTCATGAGGACAGAACTGTGCCCATGCAACTTCTGAGGTTCCCTTACTGCCCTTCAAACCGGATCTCTTACTTTACTGATGCTTCCCTCCATGATTGAAACACATCATGATGAGGGTAGGACTTCTGGCATTTGGATGTGGGATAAGCATTCACTCCACATCAACATGCTTGAACTTCTTGCTTTTCATTAGGCATGTTCCCTTTCCTGCCCCTGCTGGTGGATCACTTGGTCATGTTCCACTTAGTCAATTCCACAGTTGTTATTTACATCATCTGGCTGAGAGGCACCTGTTCCAGGACCACTTGCTTTCAGGCAATGGACATACCCTTCTGCACCTATTCACATTGGTTTTGACTTATTTTCTGTCCTTTACCAGGAGCACAGATCTTGGGGTGTGCCACCTCTCTCAGCCAGTCCACATTTTACCAACTGAGTGGTCTCTACACCCCCAGGTCTTTTGTGGCATTTGTTCTTAGTTGGGCACACCCTTTATGGATACCTTTGGCACCCTTTTCTACTCCAGGCTTACTGGACTCACTTTTTTCTATATGCATATTCACCTATACATCTCCTCCCTATAGTCCTTGCCTTGAAACATGTCACTCCTTGTCAGATCCCATGGTTGGCACCTATTTGGCCAGCCCAGCCTTGGTTTCCTATGCTTCTTTGCTTGTCATTCACCCTCCTCCCTTCCTCTCCCTTTCTTCATCCTCACACATCCTTTTTTCTTTGTGGGATGTCTTTCCTCCATCATCACTCATAGGATTTGTCCGATCTATCATCCACCAGGCTGTACTCTCCAATTGTATGAAATTCTTGTCACATTTTTGTTGCCTTTCCACCGTATTTGTCTATCAACAAAATAGGTGGGTCTTTCTCATTGGTTCATCTGCCACTCCTTTACTCTTGGCTATCCTATTGTGAACTATCCTTCTGTCTTTTTACCTTGCTGTGTTCATCTGTGGTTTTTCAGTCTCTGTCTTTGCTGGTTATTGGGCAGCCTTGTTTACGGCATTTTGCCTTGTGGTGGAGGGCTTTTTGTCACATGATGAAATAATCATGCACCAGCACAGTTCACATTAAAACATCTGAACTTAGGTGAAAGTTGTCTCAAGGCTGGTGGCATGGAAGTCTATTAGACAGGTGCATGAGGAAGATAGGTAATCTTTGTGAAGATGTATCTATCAGAAATATGTTTTCAGGATAGAAAAATGTTAACTTCTAATTGGGATATCTTTCAACACTATCAGTTAAATATAGTGAATTTTATACTTTTATAATAATAATCTGGTGATCATATATATTTGTATCTGTAAACTGAGACTTAACTTCCATGGTCGATAAGTATAAAGTAGGTATTTATGTTTCTTTTTACAGTTTACTTATATTTCTAGGTGTCCAGTGAGCTTTTGTTGTACATATTTTTTTATGAGTTATATATATATTATTTCAATTATACTGTTGAAAAAATAATACAGTATAAGCTACATGTTTTGGTACACTTATATGTTACTTTTATTAGTTAAAATAATATTTCTTCAGATCAAGCACTATGTAGAAAAACCATCAACTTTTGTAAGCACCATTATAAACTGTGGAGTCTACTTATTCTCCTTGGAAGTCTTCCAACTTCTTGCAGCTGTTTTTAAACAAAAACATCAAGAATTTTATTGTGGGTAAGCAAACTAGCTAGTTGTGTGTGAATTATTTGTGTTCATTGTAAACAGTTGTTAACTTGCATTTCATTACTATCATTCTCTCAATAAATTGTGTTATTTACTTATTATAATACTTAATTTTAGTTAATAATAAGTAACTAGTAGGATCAACTTCATCAAACTAGACAATAGGTGGACCAGTCTATATGAAAATATTTAACATGTAAACACACTGCATGAAACTTTCTTTAGAAGCTGAATTTTATTTTTTCATGTGTTTAATATAATAAAATATTAATTATATAACCTTATATATCAACGGTAATTTTTCAAATGCTTGTATTTTATGTTAGAAAAATAAAAGCAAGTGTTAGAGAAACAGCTATGGGTGCACATGATTCAACAGGTGTGTCACTACATCATACACAAGCAATAGTTTTTTTATAAGTAAATTTATTGAAACCATTGTGTACTGAGTAGAAGATAAATCATTATCAACGTGCGATAACCATCCATAGATAGCAAGTCATTAAATAAGTAGAGGAGGTTGTAGCAGAATTTATGTAACCATCCAGAACATTCAACTACACTTCACAGAATTTCTACCAGCATCCTTAGTTGCTGTGTATCATTTACTAATCTTTTTTAAGTATATATTTTGATATGAATTACAGGACTTGTAACCTTGTAAGTTTATTTTTACTTTTCATACATGCATAATTATTAATGTTTGTGCATAGAACTAACTGGGATTTTCTATATTTGTCTATATTGAGATAATTTATTTATTTTTAGTGTAGCATTGTAGCAGTCTCCTCCCAGCACCAGAATATATGTTACACTGGTTGTTATGTGGATTTTCAAATTCACTTTTCTAAATGCATTGGAGGGCAGTTTAGTTACTGAAGATTTAATGAGGTTTCAGCACTGCAAGATATATTTCTAAAGGAATTAACTCATACACAGGTTTTTTTACAAGGTCTCTTTCTTATGCTATTTAACAACTTATTTTTGCACCTTTATTAGAATGTACTTGCAACACTCCACTGAAAGTACCTAGTGACCTAAATCAGTTACCCAAAATACACCTTAATATCTTTATTCTTCTGTTACCAATTTGAACTCTCTGAAGCACAATAATGTGTTTAAAACAAACAAGTCATGTTTTTGTTTTAAATTTCCAAGAACGATTATTACTTGTAAAAGGGAGAAATGTAGATTTTGTTTTTCAGAAGATAATTATGTGTTAGGCAACAACTCATATATATGGATTATCTTTTTAAACTTATAATATTACAGTGGTACTAAACGTTTTAATTGATTATTTTTAATTTTGTTTCTTGACAGTTGGAATAAGGTAATTATTATTTTGCATTTGGATATTGTATTAAAAAACAATTTTAAGCTTATCATTACATCTAGGAGGATAATTCGTTACATATCAATGAGGCCATTTTTATTTATTTTTCCTTATAAATTTTCAGTTGGAAGGAAAAAAAGGCTTTTATTACAGAGATATCCTGGTGCCTGTGAAAGGATACCTACAGACCACATGTATTCATGATCTATGTCATGAGAAAATGTACCATATTCTCTATGACCAATGTAGATCTAGACCAGTCTGAACAGTCAGCTCAGAGTCTATCCTGTTTGGCAAATACATTACTAAGTGTTCAGTAATGGCTTGTAGAACAGTGTAGACCCTGTTCAGACTGTGACACAATTTATATATACATGTAATGATTGTGACACAATAGAAGTAATAAAGGTTAGATTTTTTGTCTTTTTTTAGTTTGAATGCAACATTATTTGTCAATACTCTTTTCATTTATACCAGTTTTTAAAGCATTTTTTGCATATCAAACTTTATGGAAGGAAGTGATTTTAAAGATGTGACCAACATCACACTATCAGGCTAGATGGTCATTCAAAAGTCTGTTGTTTCTATCATGACAAAAGATAACCAGACCACCTTGCATTCAAAATAGTATTTATAAACAAATCAGAATTAAAGTCTGTTTTTAAACAAATATGGGCAAATGTATATAGCAGACCTCTTGGCTTTAATGTTACAAAAATATACTTTGACCCAAACTCTTTTAATATCTATACCAGAGTCTCCAGAGATGTATCTGTTAATTTGTTTTGATCCTCAACATTTGATGCTGTAATACTCTGTATTGAAACATCCCATTTATCAGTAGTATGGAAAAGTGCTCCTCCAATCATTTCTTTGTATTTGACATATACAAGGAAGCTGTGGTTCTTGGAATTATCCTTAAAATAAAAAAAAAAGCTGCCATGTTTCTTCAAACACAAGTTTTAAACTTTTTCAAACCACTCTTATAAATGAGAGAACCACTTAAACAAGTTTATTTGGTTTTCTTCCCTTGATACTTAAATTTTATGTCTATTGAATCAGACTGACATTTTTACATTATCAAGATTTACCTTGGTGTTAATTAAAGAAATGATTATGGCCTTCCAATTTTTTTTTTTTTGTTTGAAAAGTGATAAATTATGTTCAGAGAATCTGTAAGCCGTGAAAAAAGAAACTTCACTTGGCTATCATTATTTTCAGGAAGGACTATTCACTACATGTTAATAACAAGGGTTATTATAATTTCTAGGAGGATTATTATTATACAACCTTTTTTCCCAGGGAGGATAATTCCTTGGACAATAATAACAAGGACTGTATACACTTAGAACAAGAGATCTTAGCACCACTTGCAGGAACAGGTCAGATGTTTGTTTTTCAGACCTCAAGATGGTGGAGTCAAGTAAAAACTGCTGGGTATGTTCAATTACAGTTGTATATTGATACTTTCTAGATCATCCCCATATCATATCTTAAAAAATAGTACAACCTGGATATTAATACTGTATAAGTATTTCCAGTTTAGCCAGTAAGACTGTTTTTAACCACTTCCATCTAGCTATTCTTTCTATTGAGGTTATAACATTAAACTTGGGCTACATTTGAACCACTATGTTCAAATTTAAATTTAAAAAGGCTATTTATAAATACAGTTTTGTAATTTTTACTTAAAAAAATATTCTAAACAACCTGCAACTTAATTTTTTTAAATAACAATACAAATTAATATTGTATAATATTTACAATACCTTCACCATGTTTAAAAACTCTGATCAAACTTCCCAATTTCTTCAATATCTAAACAGTAGACATAACAGCATAAAGTTTACTGCAAAACATCAGCAAGTACATAAACTATCCTCTCTGGATGCCTTGATTAGTAACAAGAAAAAGAGGATTCTAATGTAAAATGTATCATAAGAAAACATTCACAGATTTATATTTCAATTTTGAAAGTTTCTTTCTGAATGTTTTTAAAGAGTATGTAGTTAAAATATTATTTCACTGTGTGTATAAAATATCTAGTATTTAACAGTTATGCATAAAGAATTTACAAACATCAAGGATTTTTATGCAAAAGTATGATTCCATATGATATGACTGACAAAATATTTCATAGTTATTTGAAAAAAGCAAAGTTTTATATTGTTATTAAGAATCAGCCGAAACAGATTATCCATAGGGTATAGTTGCAGTTACAATTAAGGTGGGTATTTAAACCTAATTCTCACCTACTCTCTTTAATTAAATTTAAAGACCAGATACCAATTTCAAAGTCATAATTTGTGGTTTATAAATTTACTTGTCCTTGGTATTGTTACGGGTAGCTAGGGGTCAGAGGGCATGTCATCATGTTTGTAGACTTACATTCAAAATTTTATTGAACTCTATTTTATGAATGTATATCAATCAACTTGGTATCTAATTGAAGATTTTAATTCATATTTTAGTATTATACATTAGTTAATTTCTTAATTTGAAAGTAAATATAAAAAAAATTGGTAAATATCGATTTTCGTGTGTCACACTGGAATGTCATCTTGTGGATTTGGTCAGATTACATTTTATGATGCCAACAATACAACATCTGTAGCTTCATATGAATTATAAACTCAAATTTCCAATATTGATAAACTATAATATAAAACAAGAACCTCCTCTACCCTTTTTATTTGCCAAGATATCATAATATTTATTGAATCCACCAAGTCAGCTTCTAACAATAAAATTACTACAGAAAATAAGTGTGAAAAGTTGAGAAGTATAAACTCTTTTAAATTTTGTGATCAATACTAACAATGCTGTACATTGCAACCTTTATTTTCATTATACAACCTGGAGAAGCAAGTATAATGTTACAGTAGAGGAAACAAGAGATAAAATATAAATTTTTATTGAAAAGAGTGTTTGATATTTAATTACAAGGTCATTTATTTTTTATTTGTTTTCTTTATTTATCATTATAAAAGTAAATAAAATCATGAAAATAGAAACTTATTAGATAAGACAATGAAAAAATAATAATAATAAATATCCTCATGGGGTATATGCGGCAGCAGCTTGCGTGTCATGCTATTTGATATGGTAATGTGAGCTGAACGTGAAGCATATCATTTTCAACTTGTGTCAGGGTATTTTAGTCAGACATGGTTCAAGGGTCAATAAAACAAAAATTAATAAATATAAATAGATGTATACTGTTACAAGATTTGCATTATTTAGAATAAACATTTGTGGTTTCCTGTTACAGTTATTCTAGAACAAAAAATAGAAAAGATAAATTACATTTGTTTCCTAATTTTATGATGATTATGAGGTTGGTCAAATCGACCAACACCATACATAGGTAATATTGATAAAATAACAGATTAAATATAGTTTTATCCAAAAAAAAACATTTTATGATTATTTAGAAGGATATAGAGATTACGCAAATGAAACTTGACAAATTTCAGATAAAGAAAAGTATTTTTAATCATATAATCAAATTACTTTTCACGTTGGATAGTCAACATTCTGAAAGAAAAATCCACGAGCAAATCTTTAATATAAAAAGTCTTAATACTTAATACCGGATATTTTCTGTATGAAAGTCTTGAAATGTTTACTGATAACCTGCAAAATTTTGTAAAGGTTCACATACATTATCAAAAATTATAATACAATTATTCTCATAGATACTTTCATGGTTACGGGTTGGGTGGATTCCATCCATCTCATATTTGTAGGTTTAAGATCCTTGAAAAGGCCAATTGTGTCATCCTATAAAAGTCTTTTGATTCACAAACTGAAGCCTGAAATTAATGTAGTTAGTTCTTGTGTATTAACTACATTATTCAGTAATACTTTAAACATGTGTTTTATCTAAGAAATGTAAAACATAAAAAAAAATAATTTCTTGAGAAATGATATATCTATGTAATACTTTGTTACTAGTTGGTTGTGTCTGTTGCTCTCTTTCTAAAACATATAATGTATTTCATTTTATTCAAATGAGCTAAAATTGATCATGTATTTCCTAGTTCAGCAATATATGCTAATCGTCACTACTTAGAATTATACCATCAAACTCATCCAGATTGGTTGGCAAAAAATGGTAACGATAAGCCAGTGATTATTGGAGATGTTTTCATCCATCCAACTGCTTTAGTGCATCCCACAGCAACAGTAAGTATGTAAGTTAAGGAGTTGTAATCATAACAGTCTTATCAGTTACTGTGGGACTACGTGTATACAGTAACTTACATAGTGGGATACAGTGTTGAGGATTAAATGTACTTTAAAAGAATGTAGTTTCAGGTCCTATGCTACCCATCAATATTCACATTCAGTCTGATGGCAAGGATTATGCACTATTGGCTGACACAGGAATTCTTAACATGACAAGCTTAGGTGAGGTATAGTAAGGTCTATCTTAAACCACACATACTGACACTTTCCACTGACCCTTAACTACTATATATGAATGTTGCTTTTCAAGACCACAAATAAGTAGACCAAAGGCACAAAAGTTCCTTGGAGTTACATTGGGGAAATTTCTAGGTTTCTGGTCCAATGGAATTTCAGTAAATCTAGTTTGTTCTTCTTTTTCATAAATAAATATTGATTAATTTTAGATATGTCTGGAAGTTAGTGAAATTTTGGCTAGTAAAAACTCAGGTTCAAATTCTTGTTCAATATCTTGTTAATGGTATAAACAGATATGTCCAGTTTCATTCCAGTGACATTTTTATCTCTTGGTTATCTTTTATAACTATAACCTTTATTTCGTACATGAGGGCATAGGTCAAGATTGGCTTGTGGTGTGGTTTCTGATACTGTTGTTGCCTTAAATTTTCTGCAACGCAAGTTTTTCATTCCACTTAAGGTTGGTACATATCTCTTCACACACAAATCTACCTTTTGTCACATTAAACTGTTGAGTGGTCAGGAATTCACTGTGAACTAAATATGCAGGTGCCTCATCTCATATCTACAGCAATGCACTACTGCTTTAGGATATATAAATTGTTCTTAGAGAGCTCAATTAACCCTAATTATGTGTATAAACCCAGCAACGTGTTAATTTTCTTGTAAATTAAAGGGCTACAAAAGAAAAATACTGATTTGTAATGGTACCACCATTTTGAATTAGCTTTTATGTTTGTGATCTGATTTTGTATGAAGCAAAATACTAATATAATGTATTTAATACTGTGTGATTGATGCCATCTTCAATAAAGAAAGTGAATTAGCACCAAATCTTGGTTTGTAAATATTTTTTTTGTCATACTAAAGTCTCAGAATAAAAGAAATAGTTTCATATTTGTAGTACTTTATAAGATTATTTGAGGAGTATATGACTATCTTCCAAGTTATTTTCTGTAAATTTAGCTTGCCTGAAATTAAAGAGTGCAAGAAAGCTTGTTGGTAAGCTGTGTCTAATAGATGTTATCCAAGTGTTGTATAGAAGTTTCAGACTTATTCTTAAGTTTACAGTAAGTCTAAATGTACTATGTGAACCATCTTGGGATATATATATTAACTTACTAAGACCTGTTTATACTTTCACACGGTGATGCTTGTACAACACAGATACAGAGTTCTGAGACTAAATGTTCTGTTGTTGATCTTTCCAGAAACAGTTTTATGTGTCATTTTAAACCTTAACAGAACTACACAACACAATGATGCAAAGTAACAAATAAATAGTTATTACTATTAAAGGACTGACAATATTTGTGTCATCTTAAGGTTCTGTAGATACAGAAATGATACTTGAGTTTGTAAACTTTCCATTAAATAATAACAGTTAAATGGTAAATGTTCTATCAATGTTGTTGTGGATGGTAGCTGAAATTGAATAGATAGTATTAGCAGTGTGGAATGTTTTAGTAGGTATTATTTAGCTGAAGAGTAATGTAAAATTCATAATTAGCTGATTTTTTTTTATAAAGGCTATTATGGATTGTAGCCAAGATTGATTAGATAGTAGTAGCAGTGCTGAATGTTTGTGTAGGCATTATTTTTCTAGAAAGATTGTTGCAAGAGGTACCATTTGTTACTGATCTAATATATATGGCTTAAATGGACATATCCCATCAATTATATTTGATACAACCCAATTTTGGGTTCTTAATTCAAACACAAGGGTAAATGCACATTGCAAGATAACTTAATCCTAATGATGTTTGTTTTGGTGAACTTTAAGTTAGAAGTATAAAAAGTTTGAAAAAAAAAAGCATACAAGAAGCCAACAGTAATCTGTTATTTATCAGAAAGTTCACTACTTTGAACTTTGTGTTGCGGCATGTTTTGATGTTGTATTTTTTGTGTAGTATTTAAATATATATGTGTAGCACCATACATGTTTATATTTTTTGACATTATACTTTTTAAAGAAAACTTAAATGTGACATGGAGCAAGTTTTATTTTTGCTGACGTTGCCATTTTAGATAATGTGATAATTTTATTTTTGCTCTCTGAACATGCACTTTTACTAAATATGATAGAGTATCTGTATACTTTTACTTCAACAATAAGCAGTACAGTGATAGAAACTCATTCAAGGCTTTAATGAAATGTTAATTTACACTATTATAGGGTGCTTTGTGGTATATAATGTTTGTTTCAGTCAATTATGACACTAAATAATGTACCTTATGTTTGACGTAATATTGTATTCAATTATGAGGAATTTCTTATGTGAAAATGTTTATATCAGTATTCTCTTTGTATTTAATTTTATGATATCCTACAGTAGGGTAATTTGAGGTGTTCTGTAATATAATACTTTGTACATGTAAGATTCTACATTTACATATTTTTGTTAATCAGCCTTGTACTTCTTTATCGTTTCCAATAGCTAGGCCCAAACGTTAGTATAGGTGAAGGTGTTACAATTGGTGAAGGTGTGAGAATTCGAGAGTCTATAATTTTGGGAAATGCTACTATTCAGGTAGGCCATTTGTAGCTAAGAAGATATATTTATAAGTTATATGCCTGGTGAAACACTATATGTTTTGAAAGGAAAATATGTACAAATATCATTAGAAAATTTTGTAAAGTTTATCGTATTCAACAAACTGCATTGTAAGAGTTTAAAGTCAAATCTTTGATTATATTAAGTAGGAACAATTGGGTTTTATACTTAATATCTTTATGTATCAAATATCAATATATTGCTGATAAACTTCTATAATTTGGATATGAAATAATTCCACGACATTTTTGACAAATATAGAGTCAAAAGACAAAGATAAAACTTTTGAAATGGTGTATTTAATTGTTTTACACTCACAAAAAAGAAACCTATCATTCTATATGTATTTGAAGGACTTTAGTATTTTGCCACAATTTAATTCTTTATATTGTTAGCCAAAACTGGGTAGCTGGTACATAATTGAATAGAGTTGTTTAAACATTTGTTTAACAACAAGTGTCCAGGGTCACTAATGAGGAGTGGAATTCTCCGAAACTAGTCTGTCTCACAGACACACCCCCCAATGAAAGAATAGACCATTCCAAGCTTTTACTTATTGTTAAACAAATGTTTAAACTCTATTCAAAGATAGAACTTTGTTTTTTTCTTTGTAATTTCTACAAAACATTAAATGTTGTGAGATGATTGTGGTATAATAAATTGTGCAGAATTTCATGAGCTAACATGTTGTTTTCCCCCATTTTAGGATCATACATTAGTTTTACACAGCATAGTCGGCTGGAATAGTGTTGTGGGCTGCTGGTCTCGAGTGGAGGGTACACCTTGTGATCCCAATCCAAACAAACCCTTTGCTAAAATGGAGAATGTTCCGCTTTTCAACAGTGATGGACGTTTAAACCCTTCTATTACAATTTTAGGTTAGTTTATTTGGCTATAAGTAAGTGTTATACCTTATAGTTACGAGACCATAAAATGTATTTAATTTGGTCACTGAGCAAGTGATTTTGAATTATTTAGTTATTTTCTTTCCTATTGTGTGTCCCTATCTTGGGAGTTCAAGATTATCAGATGACTAGCAAGTAGCTTAGAATAAGTACAACCATTTGTAAAATACTTAGTAAAAAAGATGCTTTATGTAGGATTTTATTTTTATAAGATTAACTTATCTCTTCTCTGTACTGATTGAGAAAACTAAGGTTTAAATAACATAATTTAATTTATGTATTTAAATTACAAGTTGTATTAACATATCGGCTGTTGGTAGCAGACTTTTTGTATGTATGCATGAAAATCCAGAGTATATTAAAAGTAATGATTAGGCAGACGTTATTTTGCATTGTACCAGTGGTAATGTAATTAAAATTTTATTTTGACAAATTCTGATGAAGCTTGTTAAATTAGGGCCTGTTTTAAAAAAACATTTTTTCATCAATCATCCTTAATATTCTGACTGACCTTCTTGTACTGTGAAAAAAGATTTTTTCTGTACCATTAACAAAATGTGCTTACTTGTTTATGATTGTTTTCATTAGGTTGCAATGTACAAGTTCCATCAGAAGTGATTGTCCTTAATTCTATTGTACTACCTCACAAAGATCTGGCTGCAAGCTACAAGAACCAGATAATTCTGTAACAGTTAAACAGTAGCTCATTCGTTTTATACCATTATGTTTGTGTGTTGCTGTGCCAATACATAAGAAAATTGGAACAAAATTAGTTGTTCACATCATACTATCCAGTGAAGTGAAATATTATTTCATGAAACTATTTGTCATCCTGATGTACTGATGAAAGGATAAAAAATTAATGATATATGAATAAAGGTTTTGGTACAACATCTTTTTATTTTTATGCTAAAAATAGCATTAAATAATAACTAAATTTTTTAAGAAATAAATTACTCACATAGTAGCATTTTCTAGTGTATAGTAACATAGCTAACATTTTATTATTATCTACATGTTGTAATTACTTGGTTAAAAACATATACTTTAAATTGTTGTGCTTATAGACCATTAGAAACAAAATATAGGTTGTATATTAGATGAATTAAGCATTAATGTCCTAAACACTTGAATTTTAACTAAATTTGTGTAACAAATTGTCATTTATATTTTACAAATATGAATTAGGCTATATTTTTAAAATTATATTTTATGTGATATTATATACAGCACCTTTTGTTGTCATGTCACAAAATGTAAATATTAATAGTTGCCAAGGGTTTTGATTTAAAGTTATTAATTACTTAAAACATTAAACTTTAAATTCAAGTGTTCTTTTATTACGTCCCATCCTTTACAGACAAATGGTATCATCTTTGAGTATCAGTATTTGTTTTCAATATGTTTAAGGAAGATTTTTTCATAAGACAATTTACATGGAAAAAAAAAGATATTCCCTAACTGATGTTTAGAAATTGCAATTGTACCTGGTGAAATTAGAGGCATTTACTGCTGCACTGTCTCACTACTTTGCTCAAAACAAAAAATATTTTATTAACATGCTATTAATGCTGTAAATTCTTCGATTAGTTCGAATTCAGAAATGTATACACAACTTACCTAAAAATGTTGATACATATTTTTTTCCCAGATTTCCGAAAAATTTTCTCTTGGTTGATTGTGTAGTCTTTTTACACACTAAATTAACTATAACATTTTGTTTCTTTATATACACATTTTCAAGCAGATGTAGAACCTGTTGACAGCTGTTATTTGTCTTCGGTGATTACTTCTTAATAATCACCAGTTTGTATTTTTTTTAACAGACTGCACTGTCAGTGATGTGGTATAGTGTTAAATACTTGATCAAGCACCACACTGAGCACAGGGAAATTATGTATTGCCACATGTTGTAATGTCTTATACTAACCATCATTAAAAAATAAGCACATATTTATGACTTTCACTTGATAAAGGTAGCATTTACTTATCCTGCCAAATGTTAATATAATCATTATTACATTCATATATATATATATATATATGCAATATTTAAAGTAACTATTATAACAGTGTCTGGAATTAAGATTTTTACTATGCTGTACATGGAAGAATCATTGTGTTGTGTTGGCAATAAGTACAGTAAAATGCCACCATAATACATAGAAGAATGTACGTTTTTTAATATGAGGCCTTAAATTGATCAATAAAGCACGTTTTTGAAGTATGATTTGTCTTAATTATTTTTCTCTTAGTTTTAAATACTTGGATGAAAAATATAACGAATTTTCATTTATAAAACTAAATGTAAGAGATCCACAATCCACTGTAATGTTTAATGAACTGTAGTCCTGTAATGAAAGTATGTCTTGTTTTTTTTAACCTAAATCATGGATAAACATTTCCGATGCAACAAATATAAGTTGTTCATACTTCATATTATATATACTAATCTACAATTGTTTTATTATTTTGTTAAATTCATGCCACATCACTTTGTGTCAGTTATATACTTTCCCAACGTTCTTTATTCCATTTATGATTTTCACTGCACTCACACTGAGAATTATCTAGTTCTTAGGAATTTTCTCCTCTTTAACCTTTCAAAATATTTGATGTCTGTATAGAAAAGGTTAACTGTACAATATCTGCAAGTCATAAAATTAGGTTTGATTGCAGGTGAATACGATACCACAGTTTTTGTGAAATACTAACTAGATTTAAAAACAAGCAATATTTACTTTCAATAAATATGTAACTTAAAATATATATAAGCTGAAAACATGTGTCCATTTATCATGTTTGGAAGATGAAGTATTTTTAAAATAAAAAAATAAAGTTTTTAACAAGTATCATCTAATATAATAGGTACATAAGTGCAAATGATGCCCCATATAAATTATTCAGCATTTATGTGAAAGAAGAGTTAGATTTAAAGACATTTGCCTTAAGTTTCCAGAACTGAAAATATAAACTAAAATATTGTGAAGTTTAAACAAGTAGAGATTTTTGTTTTCAAATTTGTTTACAAAATACATATTTTTTAGAGCAGGTATGATTTTCTGTCTGAAAGGACACATGTAGTTCTTTATGCATGATGAAAGTAACTGAGTATTTGAGAATGTAGTTTTTAATGTAAAACAAAAGCTCTATTATATCAGTGTGTACAGTGTCTACTGTTTTGTTGACTCTGTTATACAAAAATTGAATACTATACCATATCTGTATAAATTTATGAAATATTTAATGTTTCATTAATAAAATTTAGCCAGCCTATTTGTTTCTAACAGATAAAATAAATAATCAGTATCACACAAAGTACAAGTCATGTTTAACACCAACAAGAAGAAATGATAACTCAAAAGCATTATTCAGTTAAATTAAGATTTTTCTTACTTTTGCTATTCCATAAATCAGTTTCCAAACTCATCTTCCTGTGCATCACAAGGATCAAGGCTTTGAATAAATGGGTGATGTTCTTTAACTCCAGGCAATATCACAGACACACAGACATTTGTTATAGGATGGGCATACTACAGGAATTGGGAAGTACTTGTAAACTCCCTACAGGGATGTTTAAACCATATTACAAACATTTAACTATTAGTATCTACATACAGAATTGACATCAAAACATGGCCTATAATAAGTACAGGTAACACTAGAATGTGTTGAACCACTGCAGCTGTAACACATAGGAACCTTACCAAAGAAGCTTCCTGTGGTCTAGAGGGTTGTGACAGGTTAACTTTTACCACTCTAAACATCTTCAATCCAATATTGCACAAAGCCAACATTGGCCTAGAACCTGTGTCTGCAGAACCCACATTTACACTGCCTAAAAAACCACAAGAAGTCAGCACTAACTACTTTTATATAACATTTTCAATACATTAACAGTAGCTACAGTAAGAATTCTGTAAATAGAATATTAACCTTGAATGCAGTCAGGAATCTGAAAGAGAATAATAAGATGCTGAAGTTAGAAGGTTGAGCAGAATTAAGTGTGTATCATAAACATCAACATATGAACAGTGCAAATCTTACATAGAAATCTGGAAGAAGCAACCTGTTCTATTAAAACATACACAGATCTAACAGATTCAGGCTGAACCGAGATATTTACACTGCCTACAATAGTTGATATCACACAAATGTTCTAAGCTTTAGTTATGCATGCTTTACCTGTTAGCTATTAAGTACATTCTGGTTTAGTGAGCAATGGTCCAGATGAGAACATGCTCTCTCTGGTAAACAGGGAATTATGTTCTCTAGAAACATTCTATATCGATCACTCTACAAGGCACAAGCTACGAAATTACATCAAATTGGTCCTTTGTTAGTAGTCAAGCACACAACACTGCTGGTTATATACCTAATCAGCAATTAAAACATTGCCCCAAGCAACAATGTATATTTCTGACCAATTTCAGCTGGATCTGAACAAATTTCCAATCAGATTTTAGAAGTTAGGCTAAAACACTGCCACTTATAAATCCTTAATAAAAGTACCATTACAAACAAGCATTTATTTGCTTACCATTCACATATGCACCTAAATAAAAACCAGATTATTGGCAGTCAAATCAGCAATACAATACTGTTATAAGCAAAAAATTCACATGCTGAGTAATTACTGCTAGACCTGAAGATAATAAACCACATTATTAGTCAATACCTGTTACATATATTGAATCAGCAATGAAAACAAGTTCCCAAGCAACAAGGTACTCGCTGATCAAAGGTTACAATGAAATTTGAACATATAACCAAATAATACCTTTTAAACTCAGCTTATCAAACAGACACCTGATCATATTCCTTTACGTTATTTACAAATTCTTAACACACATTTTTTTAAAGACAGTTAAACCAATAATGTAGGTATGTGATTTTTTTCACAATTTTTGTGTTGGTAATTCAAGATTTCCACTTTTTATACAACTGCTTTTTAATTTTCTTTAAAATACTAATAACTTTGAAAAATCACTATAATTTTGAAATTATTTCTAGTAACTTTGAATATTTAAGGACATTTCATCAGTCAAGTGGAAATCACTCAATAATGTCTTATTTTTCAAAATGTTCAAACTATTAAATAACATATTTACAGTGATTTTATTTGTTATACTTAATTGATTTCAGTTTCATGAGTTTCTAGATTTGATATTTAAAATCTATTGTGATACACTAAAATATTTTTATTTATGCATTTCTTTCATAAACACAATTATTAATAAAGACACGTATCCTTGTGAAACTTTTACACCATGTGATTTATACTTTGTTACGGAAAGAGAAGTTCATAAATTTTTATATACATACAATAAAAATTCTGTTTGAATGTTTAAAAAAGTCTTACTACTCAGTAATTTTACTGATTACTAACATATACACAAACAATCTATACACCAACAATTGTGAACACTGCAGATTCAACTAGTGTTGAATTGTGAGTTGGGAATCAACATGAATATAGGACATTGAAACTAGTGAAGACAGACTGGAAATCAAGTGTGAACACAGTAGATTTAAAAAAGGCAAAGACTGAGAATCATTGTGAGCATATAATGGTGAAATTAGTAAAGATGGGGTAGTAGGTGAAGATCAATGTGAACAGAGTATATTGATGTAGATACAAGACTGTGTGCATGGAATTACTACACACAGTAAATCTATGTGTTGGAAATCAATGTGAACACATTATATTAGTAAAGACATAGAAGTGTTTATTAGGAATCCAGTTGAACATATTAGTCAGTAAAAACATAGGACTAAGTTGAAAATTAATGTGAAAACAGAATTGAGAGTAGGAAATTAGTATAAATAGTGTACTAGTGAAAACAAAACTGAGAGCTGGGAATTAGTGTTGAAACAGTGGAATATTGAAAACATCGAAATGATGGTTGGGAATTAGTATGAAAACAGCATATTAGTGAAAAAATAGAATTGAAACTTGGGTATATTAGTGTGAAAACCTAATATGAATTGAGAGTATGTGTGACAAAGATGGAGTTAAACAACAAAAAAACTAAAACATTAATCATTGTTATTCAACATTTACACCAATATAAGTTATTTTAAATGTTAAAAAAATCATACCTTACAAAAGCGAAGACATTTTCTGCATATGTTAGAAATACAACAAGCTACTTATACACAGTTCAACACTTATTATCAGCAAAACATAAGGTAGTATCTGTTTGATTCTGAAATCATTTAGCCAATTGTAAGTTATCACCTTCAAACATTTTTATCTGACTAACAACATATTAACAATACCACCTGAAGATTTTATAAACACCACCTCAAATAAGAATATTCATTTAGCTGGATACATGCAGGATTTTAGGAATATAACATTTATAGAATAAATTACCTCTTTCACAGCATATATATAATGATGAATATTTTACACTGTTCAGTAATCAATAGCACAGCTATTTGAAAATTCTGTTGTTGAAAACTAATACCAAAATCTAACCAACAATGTTGCATTTGGCTGACAGCTGCACATATACTGATATAACTTTAAATAAAAAAATTACTTGCAGAGCACGGGAAAGTTTTAAGCTCAACCGAAAAGGGCTTCTAACACACAAAACATTATATGTATCATACACATTAGATACTAGTGCATAAGAATAAAAACCAGCATTAGAAAGGTAAAATTACATAATGTTTGGACAAAGAAATCCAGCTCTGGAATGAAATACCATAAAACTACAATTTTAAGCAACAGTATAACAGCTTCTCAGCGTTACTAACAAAGTGAGGTCTTATTTCAGTTTATAATATCTGTATGTCTGAAAGATTTAAGTTTGTCATATAAAATAAACTTAACAAAAGGGATGAAAAATAAGCATTCAACATAAAATAAGAAGAGTACCAGTTCATATCTTTACTCCATTTTTCATTTGAAAGCTAATTTCTTCAAAATAACATACAAATAAATCTTTCAACACTTACTGATATTTTTGCTAATTACTAATCCATGCGCCATGGATTCAAGATAAATTGAGCCACACAACTGCAATTACTTTCCCATGAAGTAACATTAAGCACCAACATCGAGAGAAATCATTCAGAAGCGCATAATGAAACCCACTACTACAATAACTTTGTCTTTAGATCAGTGCAAACGTCACTAATCTGGACATCGACAATCCACTGGGTACTGGATAATAACAGTTTTTCTAAGAAGGATCTTAACTCATTGGATACCAGTTTATGACAGTTATTTTTAGAACAAAGTTAACTTACACTGGGTACTGGTTTATGACAGCTTTTCTGAGAACAACCTCAAATCACACTGGGTATTGGTTTATGACAGTTTTGTGAGAATGAACATCATAGTAGGATGTCCACGTAAACTATAATAGATACTGAGAGGTCACCAGTTATTTGTACTGCATCTTGTCAAGTTGCAGTGCTCCAAAATCAGGACACAAAAACATCAGCATCATTATAATATCATGTTTCTTTATACAAGAAAGCAAATCCAAGTGCAGGCCTCAATATCATCAGTAGGTATTTCAATGTAGAAAGAAATGTTCCCATGGGCAAATCAATCGTTCACTGCAGCAAAGAAAAGTAGATAACTATTTTAGAAGATCACAATATGCAAAGCATGCAAACAAGTAGCAAGTTATGTATCTTTGGATGTTTCAAGTTATATCAAGAAATGCATGTTTTAGTGACACAATGCTTACTGAGAAAGCTCATAAAAAAAGTAAAAGTTTGAATACTCCAGAGGATGGCAGCGATGTTTTAATGGATGTTTTGGAATAAAGAAGACAAAGTTGGAAGATGAAGCAGCAAGTGCTTATCAAAATGCAATAGGTGTAGTTAGAGAAGATCTACAAAAGGTTCTGGTAGGATATGAATTGGCAGACATTTATAATCTAGATGAGATTATGTTATTATACAGGTTGAGACCTAGTCATTCTTTGGCAAACTAGTGAGCAAGTTCAAGGTACAAAAAAAAATCTAAAGATCCCATAAAAGTTCCTTTTTGTGCCACTGCGAGTGACAATGTTAAGTTATAGCCATTTGTAATTGCAAAATTTAAGCAATCAAAATGCTATGGAAGTGAGTTCAACCCAGTTGTCCATGTAAGACCCAGGTGAAATAAGAAAGCCTGGATAATTTAGTGTTGTTCTCAAAGTGACTGAAGGATTTGAACTGAAGGGTGCATTGCTCGTCATGCTGCACCAGATCAAGAGCTGTCTGTCACCAAACACCATGTAAGCAGTGCACCCTATGGATGTTGGCACAATCAGTCATTCAAAGCTTACGAACACCACCAGCTGACTGTAAAGTACATAGAATGTGCTGAAAATAATGATCCACAAACTGTAAATGTTCATGAAGCTTTATAAATGGTAAGTTTTGTTTGGCCCAGAGTTATTATGGAAATTATTAAAAACTGCTTCAAGCATGTTGAGGTTTTGCTGCAGCCTGAAAAGAATGAAGCTTTTGAGCTTGTTAAGACATAAGAAGTTGTTAATGAGATTGCTTATGGAATTGATACCTTCATCTTGACTATTAATGATGCAATGCTAGCTAATCAGTAGCTCAAAATTGACTCAGCAGAACCAACTGGTAAAGAGTTGTCAGATGAAGACATTTTTTCCATTGTATCTCTTTAAAGCGTGTGGTAACAATGAATCTGATAAAAAAATGATCCACCAGTTGACCAGTCAGTCTGAATACAGCAGAATCTAGCCTTAAAGATGTCACCACATGGTTTGAAAAACAGTGATTTATATGAAGATCATGACATAACGTAATATGAGCTTAAAGCTGCTGAGAAACTTCAAAAGAAAAGTATTTAATTTCAAATACAAACTATGATTAGATTCTTCTTTAGAAAGTTATTTGTTGTATATTTGACCAATATGTATTCTGTAAGTCATTAGTTTGAAAATATATTTTAAAGTGAAAATAATGAAATGCCACTTTGACTGTGCAATATGTGTAATTATCAACAATGTATTGGATACTAAACTGATGAGTTCATTGTACATACATTTGCTCTTTGTTTACCAGTTGCATGCCCACCCTTTCTAGTTTGAAACATTATATTTATCAACTTATAATACATGCTATTAACAGTGTCCAGTGTATTCAAAGTGATTGATTTTACTACCCAAATATCTTAATAATCCAGATGAATTAGTCTGTTATAAATGTGTTCAGATTAACAAGATTTCACTGTACTTCACATCCTTCTCTCAGAATCATAATATAGTCAGTGGTTTCATGCTAAAAACCATACTCAACAGATCTAGCTGCAGCAATTACAATATAATTGATGACTCTAATTTCAGTTATAATTATATACTCAATGGCTCTACCTTCAGTAACAACATACTTTTTTGTTCTACTTTCAGCAATCGTATCAAACTATACAGTCTTGTTCTAAATAATTATAACAATACTCATGGCCATGCTCTTATTTATTGTGATGTTCTCCATAGCCTTACTCTCACAAATCATAATATTATTGATAAAGTTACTCTCAGATATTAGATAATTTATTTGGCCCTACTTCCAGTAACCGTGTAAGCTATGCTTTACATTCACTAGCCACAGTGGTCTCCATGACTCAACTCTTCATAATCCTGATATTTTCTTAGTTATCAAACATAATAAAAAATTTTCAGTAATTATAATAATATTTTCCATGGCCCAACTCTCAATTATCATAACATACACTCTGTCCCATTTTCAGTTATCATAATACATTCCATGACCCAATTTTTCGATATTAGCATTTCCTACATCAGTCAAAAGCTTAAAAGAGAATGTAAACAATCAACAGCTGAATAAAATGTTTTGAATTAAAACACACTTATATTCATTAATTCTCTGAAAAGTAATTGAAAAAACGTGAAGTATCTTGGAACTGAACACCTCCAGTTATACATCTATTGCTATTCAATCAACATAAATTATGTAAATTTTTTATTTAATACTTTCAAACCAATAAAATTAAACATATAGTTCATTTTAAGTGGATTCTACTGGTAAATGCAAATTAATAGGGTTTAAGGTAGAGGTCTTAGATATTTCTGTTCAGCTTAAAACAACACTATCAGTACACATATCCAGGGATGTGAGAACACCAATATGCAAATTATACGTATCCTTACATTAATTACATCTTGTGCTTCAACACTTCTTTCTTGAAACAAGAGGGCAGGAGGGATGAGGTGTGCGCTCATGATTTTCACACTTCCTGTACCATCACTATGTTATTGTCTGCTAAAAAGTTTAATATATTAAATATGAATATATTATCATGCACAATATTTAGATAATGTCCTATTACCAAAACTGTCAAACACGGTTCTGATGTCTTTCTAAAGTTAGTGAGCTTGAGTTATTTTGATGCCCATTTTGTCTTCTTCCAATCACTGGTGTGAGATAACGACTAGATTCTTCAATGACTGGAAGTTCTTCAACTGAAGATTTCTTGCTTTGCAGTGTCATATCAGCAAGTTCTTCTGAATAATAGTGTGGGGTGTTGAGGTAGTCTCGAAGTCTTCTTGGTAAAGGCAACTTGTCTATCAAGTCTCTGCGTACCCTCTTCAGGATAACAAACCTGAAAAGAGTTTTGTTTGATAGAACAAATGTTAATATGGCAGAAATTGACTATTATTCAATACCCCTTTGATAAGGTTCTTACTCAAATCTTTAACATTAAGTGATAGTATCCACTAGTATAAGATAAACTAGTTACCTAGCTGTGGCACAGCTATTGTGATTATTACATGAAAAATTTATTAAATGTGTGCTAAAATGATTACATTGTGCATGTATAATATGAGTTTTTTATTCTAGTCTAGAAACTTAAAGAGCAAGGATGCTATGATGTATTGCACTTATATAACTTTTGAAAAGAACAGATTTGTAGAAATGTTAGAATTATAATATGACATCACAATAATCTACACAAGTGTTAAAGAGAACTTATTTCCTAGAACCATATTATCATGCTAGACTTTCCTTAAATACATGCAGTGTAATAACTGGAATATTGAAAACCACAATGACAGAGTGTAATTCTATTTTTATGCAGGTAATGTAAACAATGGACTTGTTCAAAGCAGGGTTACATTTGTCTTTAATTTAACTACAAAAGTAACAGTAAGAAAATGGATTATCAATTTAAAATTACAACAACAGCAATTTTTATAGTAGGAAGTTCTGATTTTAATAATTACAACATTTTAACACATAGCATTGAGCCATAAATAATCAGGTAAGAGATACAATCAAAAAGGCAGTTGAATTCTAGAGAACATTACAGACTCATGATAGTGAGGACAACTTTATATGTGGCTTTAAAACAGCTTTTTTTTTAGTAAAGAGAAGTGGATAAAATATTAATATAAAGGGGGGAGGTTCCTACATATTCATTTAGCATTGATTTTGCTAACTTTATGTGTAATGTTTCAGCTATTTTAATTCTTTTAATGTCTGGTTTTCTTCAAATGATGTCAACAAACATGTGACAGTTCTTTAAGATTTTCCTAGAGTACGAGGTTAATTTTTCTCCTGGTTTCTCCAATATAAAGATGTTTACATGAATTACATTTGATTTTCCTTGAGTATGAGGTTAATTTTTCTCCTGGTTTCTCCAATATAAAGGTGTTTACATGAATTACATTTGATTTTCCTTGAGTATGAGGTTAATTTTTCTCCTGGTTTCTCCAATATAAAGACGTTTACATGAATTACATTTGATTTTCCTTGTTTGTTGTTAAGCACAAAGCTACACGATGGACTATCTGTGCTGTGCCCACCACAGGTATCAAAAGATGGTTTTTAATGTTATAAGCCTTCACACTAACCACTGAGCCACTCAGGGTCTTTAATTTTGTAGATGACTCCACTGTTTTTATTTTCAGTAAAAATGTTTCTGATTTTAATTCCTGGCTTTTTTATGATCATGGCATTTATGTTGATGTTGTGTTTCTTTGTAAGGCATTTCCATAATGCATTTAAGATTTTGCTGATGTATTCAACATAAGAATTGTAGTGGTGATAAAGTGAAAATTTTCATCTTTGAGACTTACATTTTTGTTATTGTTTGTTTGATATTTTTGGAACGTGTCAATTATTGTTTTAACAGAAAGTTGATATTTGAATTAAGACTTCATAAATTCTTTTTTAGTTCATTGTTTAAATTGTTTGTGGAGCATATATCAAATGCTATTTGCATACTATACTTCAAGGATTCTAGTTTCTGTTGTATGAAGCATGCTAAATTCCAATTAATTTATTGTTCTGAAGTTGTTGCTTTCCCAAGAACTTTAGTTTCAAATCCTGATTGTTTTCTTATTATGGTGATGTTTAGAAAGTCTATGGAGAAATTTTTTTGTTTTTAAAATGAATGGTGGAATGTTTGTCATTGATGTGATATGAGTATCTTTCTTTTTCTTCGTCAGAGTTGAAGCTGCAGAAAACCTCCTCAACATATCACAGCCATTATAATGTTTTGAAGATGGCTATGTTTAAGGTCTATTTTTCCAGTTGAATTAAAAATTACAATGGTTATGATATTTCAACAATGTTTCCTTCAGGTTCAACTCTGATGAAGGAAAAGAAAGATTCTCAAACTACATCAATGGTATATATCTTAATATTAGTTTTACAATTGAAAATTAAGAAAATTTCTCTATAACCTTTCTCAACTTTCACATCTTAAAAGAGAGATCATGAACAATCACAGAAAAGCAACAAATTCAGAACAATACCTTAATTGGAAACCCAAACACTCCATACAAAAAAAAAAAAGAGAAAAAAAAGTGTATCATGCAAATAGCATTTAATATATGCTCTGAAAATAGAACTATAAAGAGTTTCTAAAATATTCATTCAAAAAATAACTATCTGGAAGAAGTTATAAAAAAAATAATCGACACATCCAAATACATTATCACCATTACAATTCCTTATGTCTAAAAAGCAGCAAAATCCTAATTGGATTATGGTAGAAACTCGTGAAGAAACACAACATCGACATAAATACCATAATCATATAAAGGCAGATATTAAAATCAAAAACTTATTACTTAGTTACCTCAATGAAAATAAAATCAATGGAGTTACCTACAACATCAAATGCAATTCATGTAAATACTTTTACATCCAAGAAACTGGAAGAGAAACGAACCTTAGACTTAAAGAACATCTTAAAGGATGCTCATATGTTTTTGAACACATAAAAAAAAATGAAAAGTATTATTACTGAAAACAATGTCAAAATCATTCAAAAAGAATCAGACATCAACAGAAGAAAAGTTGCTGAAGTATTACTGATAAAGTCATCAAAGCCTATGCTAAATAAATATCCAAGAACCTCCTTTTATCTATATTAATATTTCTTCCACCTTCGTTTTAGTAAAAAAGCTAATTTAACACCACTTACATATCTGTCTTCATCACAATGAGTCAGTAACATTCCCTGGAATTCAACTGCCTTTTCAAATATAATTTTTATTTGATGATGACTTGGTACTTTGGGTCAAAATGTTGTAATTATTAAAATCAAATCTTCCCTACTGTAAAAGTTTTTGTTACTGTATTTCTTAATTAATTATCATTTCAGTAGGTTCCTCATTAAATACTAAAAAATGGATTGAAACAAGAAGATTATATTGTTATTCCTTTAGCTACAAAAAAGGAGAAGTTGAATTTGGTCACATCACAAAAATGCATAATATTTCACCTACCTACACAGATGTTGTAAAGACTGGACTTGTTTGAATCGCGATACGGGGTGGAGAAGCTGAACCCTCATTGGACCCAACACTGGACGTCGATGAAGAAAAAATAAGTACCGACCACTACGCGAGTGCTCCACAGCATTTTCAATGAAGTCAACAATAGTGTTGCTACGAAATTTCTGCAGGCAACCAAAACTAAAATTTCCTGAAATTGAAATACAATATATACTAGTGTATAAAACTTATCATTTCAACCCTATATTAAATGCTTATATACTTAATAGAATAATAATTACTTTCTGAACTGGTAAATATGATTATACTACTATGTTATAAATGTAAAAACTGAAGAAAGGTATTGAGTTTTGCTCCAAGATAATAATAAGAAAAAAACTGAATGTTCTTCTCAAAAATTATCTCATAAACAAGAATTATTACCAATAACTTTCAGAGCTTGTTTAAATATCATATGTCAGATCCACAGAAAAAACTGTTTAAACTTTTCCTCTTTGATGATAAAATATAATTGAGAGATTTAACACAAAATGTACACGTATGTGTTTGTTTGTGTGTAGCTTTTAACCTTGTCATTTATTAAAAATAATTTTAAATTTTATATTTCTTGGCTAGCTTCTTCATGTTTAGTAATATTTGAACTTTTCCTAAAAGGTTTAAAGGAAGGGAAGAATTGCATGTCAGAAATAAGGTAACTTTTTAAACTTGGAAGTAACATACTTGGGGAAACTAAATGATTTAACTAGGGTCTGTTACAAGATAAAGTTGAGCAAAATTCCAATATTTTGGTTAAAAATATTCTGGAGTTCAAAGTGAGGTAATATCATTAGACATTCTAAACATTAACCTCAAAATTTCTATTTATCTATTAAGGTAAGTAAGTTACTGAACCTCAATAATGAGAGATTTGATAAGATTTGAAATTCAAAGAGTAAATAAGCAATTAAAAAAAACAACATAATTTCCATGTTTATACAAAACATTTTGCAAATACTAAAAAACTTTGGAAAAATATCAAACAAAAGACGTGACAGCATGAGACAAACAAACATAGAGTAAAAAATACAACTTTTTGCTTAACTCTTTCAGCACGAGCTCAGTCCCTGGGACTGACCTTGTAACCATTTTGTGCTTGTTATAGTTTTCATGCTATACCTTTTATATTAGTAAGTGTATGTTCATGAAATTTGGCAGATTATCAGTAAACATTACAATGCTTTCATAAACAAAATATCTAATTTTTTTATTAAGTCTTCAGGTTTATAAAGCAATGTTTTTCTCATGCCTTTTTTTCTTTTTGCAAATTGCCTATCCAACATGCAAAGTAATTTTCAGTTTAAAATTAAAAATACTTTTGTACATCAGAAAATTTCAAATTTCACATGCAAAATCTTTATAATGTCCAGATAGTTATCAAATGTTTCTTAAGAAAAAAAGAAAAATTTTATCTGTTATTTTCAGTGACGAATCTCTGTACGTGATTGGTTGATTTGATTGATCTCATAACTACGTTAAAAAAATTAGAAATAAATAAAAGTTATGCCATTTTCATTCTAGAATGACTACAAATTATAACACAAAACATAAATGTTTAGACTAAATAGCTTAAATCTCATAAGATTATACATTTATATATATTAATTATTTCTATTATATTGACCTTTCAGTCGTGGCTGGCTAACAATACAAAAGTTACAATGATGAGGCGCATGTGCACTCATGTTACTGTATCAAATAACATAAACTGACCTTTAGTCTGTGCAGAGTAAATTATCTTAGCTGTGTTTTAATTGACTAGTATTTTGTAAAATACAATTACTCTCAACCGAATATGTTTCATAATTGTTTGTATTATATATCACTATCACTGGAAAGTGGTAAGGACTCCCATACTCCACTGGAAGAAAAAGGAGGGAGAAAATGCAGTAGAGAGTCTAGAGGAATGTCAACACTGGAGACAGTGCAATGGGTGACTACAAAAACCCTATTTTGAAAAGCAGACCGTACCTGATTTATTCAATTGAAGGGATGAGCAGCTATCCCCTTCTGCTCTACCCAGGAAGTCCATGGGTGATTACGGTCTAGAACGGGCATGTTAATGAAGCAACTCAATATTACCAGGAAAAACCTACAAGCAATCTTGTGGAACACCTGATCTCAACAGTGAGCGTCGAGTGTCTAGGGAAATTATAAATGTGAAGTCAACATGGCCTGACAGCGCAAAATTGACACCTTGAAGTATACCTGGCCAGGCACCACTCATCACAGGTCAGAATCCGTAAAAGAAAAAAAGGGGGAATTCCTCTGAAAAATAGGATACAAAAAATTACGTACCCAGTCAGAGTCTCACAGAAGTCTGAATAAATGCCACAGGTGGAAGATGATAACCCGACAATGAAGAAACAGTAAATCAATGCAGGCAGTGAGAGACGAACGTATGTGTCATGGTCCACATGCCTGATTGAAGAATTTCCTCCAAGGGATTATGGAAATTAGATGCAAGGGAAAAGGTAAAGTGCCTAATCTGATGAGAAGACACCTGGAACAAATTACGAGAAAATGAAGACATGGAAATATAAGCCAGTCGATTTAAAAACCTAACTCAATTGCTAAGATTAGAAGAAGTAAGGTCACGAATGGAGGAAATCTGCCAATGGAATGAAGAGGTGGGAACAGACACAACGGGAGGAAGCCATGCAGGCAATATAGCAATGTAGAGCACGTATGAGACATAGTAGTCTATCCGTATCAGACCGATAATATAGGTGGGAAATGAAGGAGTGAAAATCAACAAGATGGAGGAGTTACCCTCATGAGTCCCCACAGTTTTGGGAAGGAAAGAGCAATCCAGATAGAGAACATATGTGGTATGATAAAGGGTACATCTATAGCAAACAATCTGACCTACAACATCCACAGGCCAAGAGGAGAAGGTAATAAGTCTTAAGGGACAAGTGAAAAATCAAACATGACAACAGAGGTTCAAAAGGAGGCAAAGAAGGCAATGAAGAACCACACTGACATCCCATTCCGGAAGGACTGCATGTGAAGGGGTGATGAATCCAGAAGGAACACAAAAATAGGGAGAGGGTATGAGAGGTAAAACTTTATGGTACCAGGAAAAACAAAAAGTGTGGGATAATGCAGCCCAATAACTCATGATCTAGGAGACTGAAGACCCCTGATCAAACAGTGAAGCGAGGAAATCCATAAGAAGAGGAACAGTGGGTCGAACTGGTGAAAATCCAAAGACCAATGGTGGAAAATGTTCCATTTACATTTATAAACATCTATACATCCATAGATGAAGTATGAATGGAACAAGCTAAGAAACCAAGCAAAAACCGAACAAAAACCAGGTATGAAGAGCTGGATGAAATGCTGGTGACCAAGGTAACATAGAAGGGATGGAGTAAGAAGAAGTGGCAGTGTTAGAGCAGATTGGAGCTGGGGCAGCCACGGAAACCTCAGTTGTGTAGCCGGTAAGGAGCAATCAGAAAGACCTAACACATGGATGATCAAAATCAACCTGGGAAGAAGACGAATGGAAGACACATAAAGGTATTTGTTTGTCCAATCCTGACTGAATGCATCAATAGCCAGTTCAAGTAGATGAGGAACCAGAGACCAAAACAGAGGTAATTTGGTATTGAGGGATGTGGCAAATGCATCCAGGTGAGGAGTACCCCACTGAAGGCATAGCCACTGTACAACAAAAGGATCGAGAGACCACTTCTTCGGATAAACTTTGTCTGGTTGGGAAAGACAATCCACGATAAGATTGAATACACCCAAGAACATGGCACACAAGGAGACAAATACTGAGCATGAGGGCCCAAAAAAAGGATCACGAAGGGAATGAGAACTGATGCCGCCTAGGTTAGTGATATAAGCCACCACCGTATAATTGTTGGAATGGATTGTAACCACTCAACTGAAGACCACAGACCTGAAGCTTTCCGCTGATTGACCCATGCCCCCCAGCCCTGAGAAGAAGCATCTGTGAAGATATACAAATCTTGGAATACATTGTTAATAATGAATGATCAAAGACATTTAGCTATTTATGTGAGAAGAGATAATGTATAGTACTGAAAATTCAGGTACACTCTGAATGTTACTCACCATCTAATGAAATTGAAAGACATCACTGTCAGAATGTTCTCCATACAAGTACATTCTTTCAAAAGCTTATAATGTCAGAATAATTATATGCAGGGTTAAAGGCACCTTGTATATATATCTGCTGTCTGCACAGAAAAGAGTGAAAAGACCATATTAGACACTTCTAGCCAACACATATAGTAGAAGCTCTAAACACAAGGGAGTTTGTGCTTTCATGTCTGCACCTAAGGTGTTTTTCAAACTAGTTATTACCTCCTAAATGCCAGTTTTTGAAATGTCTCTTGTATGATATAGTTGAAGACAGTTGAATTCTGACTATTACTAAAGAAATTGAAGAAACCTAGTGGGGAAGAAACCTTGGACAGTGAATAGCATGCCAGCCTTTCTATAAAGAAGAACCAAGATAACTTTCTAGCCACTTTACAGTCTTTCTTACGACTATCAAGAAGTCAAATAGTGAGAAATTAGTATCTAGCAATATAAAAACAGTAACTAATTAATTACTAGACTTAGGTGATTGTATGTAGGTTACTAACCATGACCATGAATGGTATTACATTCTAATATCTTACCATAAATTAGCTGAAATAGACAATCATCTTGCCTTTCTTTATAAATTTAAACATCATTCACAAAGAACTTAAAGTCAAATTACCTGTCCACATCCCAATATGTCAAAGTTTAACTGTAAAACTTAATAAAGCCAGGCTTCAAGACAGGATCAGATATTACCATATAACTAAACACAAGACAGCACAACACAACACTGACCCTACTGACAAGGGCTCATGTATTTTACATGACCTTGTAAACACTATGAAGGTATTCATGCTATGATTTTGAAAGTATTTAATGTAACTTAATAAAATTTGCAAAACGTTTTGTAAAGATTAGAAAACTTTTGTAAATAAAAAAATCATACTTTTCAATTAAGGATTTTTATTGAAGATTTGTCTGTAGATATATGGAGTCAGAGTGTTGATTGCTCCAAGTGCAAAGTGATTTTCATGTTAGCATTAAAAACACTTATTATCATCTGAAAATTTTCAAATTTCACTTGCGTAA